TGACCAGATGATCGTACCACATCAGTATCATCTGCACCTATTATCGCGGTTGCGTCTATAGCTGATGGATCACTGTGATACGTCTTCTTGCTACTCATGACTGCTTGTGCAGATAATTAGAGTCAATACGAACAGGTTGTACTTACTTCGTTTTTTTACAATACCTTTTCCGTCTACTTAGCGAAAGAAAATTTTCTGTTTTTGAAAATTTAAATGCACCTTTCTATTAGCATTCATCAAGTTTTTATACAAAAAGTTGTACAGAGGGTGGGTGGGTGGATGTGGGTGTGGGTGTGAATATGATTGTGGATGAAGAGATGGTCCACACCCACACCGCTAACATATTAATAGTAAGTAAAAATGAATAGAACCGATTTTGTTTAAAATATTTTTCAGGGATTATATTGAACATTCAACCAAAAATTTACTAGATTTTTTTATGCGTAGAAGTCATTGAAAATATAAGAGACTTCTGTGTTATGATTATATTGATAAAAACATGAATATCTTTTGTTAAAAAGCAGCAATTAAGATGCTATAGATTATATCCTATGGTTACGAAGCTTTCGAAATATGAATAATTATGTAAATACAGATGTGAATATTTTAGTCAATTGGTAATAACTAAGTAATTACATCTGAAAGTATTGAAATACTGTTCTTAATAAGATCAACACTTGTTGCTCTGTAAGTAACATAGATATCTGTATTATATTTTATCTGACTTTCAGGGGTGTGGGTGTACAATCAAAGATACACACCCACACTCTCATCCTCATACCCGTTTCCAAAAAAAAAACATGGACTGATCCCATCACTGATAACAATATGTGTGAAGTAATATGATGATGCAGTAATTATATCGGTAGCCATTAGATATTTAAGAGTTTCATCTTTTTCATGATGATTATTCTTTACACTGCTAAATTCATTGTTTGTTTTAAGCACGTAAGATCACTTTAAAATAAAAAATACGAAGAAATACTGTACGTTTTTTTTCTCTCAATCTATACAAATAAACAATCAACAAAAAAAGTTTCTTTTTTTCTTTTCCGGCCTATTTTAATATATTATTTGGGTCTCACTTTTTGATTTATTTGCTTACACTATTTACTAAACAACAATGATTATTCAACATTAGAAAAGTAAGTATTATATTGTCATACCTTGTAAAATTTTCTATCACACGTTGTAATTGATCATAATTAATTCCCAATCGAATATAATTTGATAGACACGTTTTTGTATCAAGTAAAAATTGTTCTGCATAATCATCATGAACATTGATAAGACCATGCGTAATAAGATGAGAATATTCAATAACTGATAATTTTCGACTGTTATTATTTGAATCTTGTTCTTGTTTGAAAGTTTGTGGCTCTGAGTTAATTATAAATAACACTTTCAGACATGGAGAATATTAAATATAAACTGACTTAAGCGAGGCATATGACTTATAATATTCTATTTCAAATTATTTTCATCGATCAATGTTTCATGACGTGTACTAACAAAATACAAAGCCAACTTCTTCAGACTAATCATTCGTTGTAAATGTGACACAATTACTTCATTATAAAGAAATGTATCCCTAATACATGTCAACGAAAAATCTTCAAGATTAGGCAGTTTTTGATAGAACAAAAATAATATCATCATTTAGTAGACAAACTTATATCAGGCTTCACAGCACAGTTACTTTACTGATTTTTACCGAAAATCCTGATATTATCCTGATTGTTTTGTGAGTTATCGATAAGGAGCCTTTCTTTTGGCGTTATTATGATATTTTGTATGTTCCTAGGCGATCTTTTGTCGAAAGTTCATATTGGAATAGTTCAAATAGATTTTTTCTTGGAGAAAGACATTAGATAGACGTTGTATTTTTTTGTTTATTACTTTATTTGTGCATCATTCGTTTAAACTATCGCTATTAAAAAGGGACTGGCCATATTGCCTGGGAGAGGGAGTCAGTCTGTCTCTCTTCGAGAGATTTGATTGAAATTAGTCTTTCAAAAATTGTTTTATGCAGTGCTGAAAGAAGGTTTTTAGAGAAAAGATTTATTATATCCAATTTCTTTTCATTCTTGCAAAAATGCCGTTGTACAAACTAGATTTTTGAATGGTGATGCAAAATGAAAGTTCTCCTTTTGAGTGTCAGAATTGAATGAAATTAATTTGAATTAAATTCTGTTTCATTTTTAAGAATGACTGAGAAAAAATCTATTCCAAACCAGAATTTTCGTTTTTTTTAGTTATGCTCCTGTACACTTCGGTTCCGATTAGGACATATATAGTTGTTTAAAGTGGCAATGAATAGAAGACAAACTGGTGTTATTTTTAAGTTCATCCCGATGTTCAGCATAAAAGACTAGAGAATAGTTACCTTACGTCATGGAAGACATGACTTTTATTTTCTTCTGTATTAACAGATATTGAAGTTTTGAATACAATTATTCTTTAGTGATATAAAAAAAGTTTCGCAGACGTAGAAAAAATTCTTTTCTGTCTGGCATACTTCAAGATACATTCTAGTGCTGGAAGCAAACGTAAAAAAAGTATTTTTACATCTGTAATTGCTATAATCTCTGAATCAACACATTTGTCGACAACTATATGTAATCGACATTGTTTTCTACAATATACGAAGAAAAAAAAGAACGAGAAAAAAGAGAGCCAATGAAAAGATGTACAGTACCACCACTATGAACTCGTAGAAAAAAACTTCACTACGTCTCTTATTTCACCTCATCAGTTTTGGTTTTGTCTGCCTACAACGTAAACTTAAATTAGCCGATCCATACTTCATTGCTTGATAAGTGAATTTGCTCCAAAATGCAAAATTATAATCGATTGACAGTATCTTGATTTTTTTATTCCAATTGTCCTGCCTACTTTCCTTACTTTTGATCTGTAGGTCACTGCGAACCCTGATGCAATATTGATATTGAAAAAAAAATAATCAAGTGTAACAATAAATAGCTTATTCTTCTTGTCAAGTAATTTACCTTGTTGATCATTGTTCTTTCAACGAGAAGAATATGAAACGTAGTAACCAACAATATGCATAGTTGATTCAAACGGCCATCGAGTAGAAAAAGACATCCATCGAAACGATACACAGTCATATGTAGTTCTACCAGAGTTGAAGAAGAAAACATTGGAGAATGTTTACCGAATGATATATATCCACATCCCCAAGGTACTGATGTATAAAATTTGAAATGACGAAGTTTATGACACATAATCAACATATTCATAAAGATGTTGGCTGGTCAATGGATTTCCAAATGATCTACTAGTATGTCTTCTTTGCCGTTAATATTTAGTATCACAATTTGATTTGGAAAGATGTTAACTAGAGATGATTTATCTAAACATAAATATAATCATGCTATATCTCTGGACAAAATCTTTCTAATTTTCCTTGTTTAATAACTGTTATATATATTTACATATTCTCATTGTCTATCTTTTATAATATTCCTGATTGAAAGCATAAATCTATCAATGCTATTTCTATTCGAATCTTGTTTTATCAAAATCTATCGTATAATGTACGTAGACGTTTTTTCATCTAATGCACAATATTCTCTTTCCTTAATACAAGTTAAATAAATCATGAACAATTATTAGTTAAACATTAAATTATGCTGCTTCTCTTCTTTAACCGTATCTTTGCTTTTCTATTTCAATTTTGAACATCATAATCTTAACCACTATTCATGTGAACACTTATTTATCATCGTAAATAATCTACGTGATTTACAAAGAACAGCCAAAGACATCCTATGAAAAAAGGATTTACATTTCATTTTTTAAGTATCTAAATTCATATTCTGTTTTTATATAATCTTAGATATTTAATTGTTTAAAAACGTCTTCCAGATATTTTAGTCTTGTTCACATTTACAATGATATGTTATTTAACATATGATAAATAAGATGTTCATTAGATGTAAAACAAATATGTGCTATTAATTTGCACTCTTCTCTGCAGCTGTTCACAGATCATCATATGTTTTCTTTCACATAAAAAGAATTCGCTCAATATTACAAAGACAATTAACAATTGTCTTATCAAGAGATATGATCTACTCTGTAGTTCGAAGAAACTGAATATGGTCCTAAAAGACAATGAATCAAGCTTAAACGAAGAATCAGTTGAGGACAAAGAGGAACTGAGTGTGAACTGTGAGACAGTGATGTAGGGAAAATTGTTTGAGTAGTATACATAGTGGCGTTTACAGGATTTTGGCGATGGTAGGGTTCACAGCCTAGACGGTTGCGTTGAGCCTAACCCTGCCCTACTTTGGTGACGCCACTAACGAGAGAACCTTGCGACTATACTTGCCGATCAATTTCAACTTAAGAAATAACCATATATTTCTAGTTATCGACATGACAGGTACTTCATCCTAACAAATAAAAAATGTCTAACCAAACATATTGGTTCATTACGTAGAATAGCTTCTAAAAAAAAGAGATCGGTGGTTTGAAGCCATATTTTCGAGATTGACCGATTTTCAAAAAGAGATAAATCGATTCAATGATCAATGTCGGTGACTGACATCTTCTATCATTCGTTTTATGTTAAGTAATGGATTGGATTTCCAACTCAGTATCGTTTGAATATTTCTTTCTTTTTTCAACAAACTTGCCTACAGCGTCTAATATACGTGATTTTTCGTTTCTTACCTGCCAACAACATCAAATCTTCTCTTTCTTCTACTTCGGAATAGTTTCAAAATAATTCAAGTCTATTGATATATTTTTGAAGTAATTGTAATGTTTTTCTAAATAAAAGGCAACATGAAGAGTTTGCTTTTATTAAATGATATTGATGAATATGTGCCTTTTTCTTACTTATTATAACAAGTTTAATTTAATAGACAAGTCATGGATGGTTGATCACACATGGCAAATGACATGTTGATTGTTTATACAGAATTGTATGATGAAGATCGAAGATGTATCCAACTGGTAATCCATTTTGAAATGATATTCTTGCTGGTTGTGTAAGTGGAATAACAACTGTAATTGTTTCACATCCAATAGAAACAATATTAATCCAACGAAAAATCAATTCATCTAAAGTTTATCGAAATACCTTTCATTCTCTTCAATTGATATATCAACGTCAACGTATAATCAATGAATTTGTTCTATCTTTTCTTGAAACTTCAATTGGTCTTATATTTGGACAAATTCATGAAAATTTAAATCGTCAACAGACACATGTTTTTTTTTAATTTTCATATCAAAGATTATTGTAAATACATTTTTGAGAATAATGGTTTTATGAACATAAATTTGTTCTGTGATAACATCAATATTTTATTGTAATGGTTATGAATATATTAAAAAACATTTTTATCAAACACATTATCAAATATTTCTATCTGAAAACAAAAAGAAACATTTACGTTTTAATATTCTTTTAAGAGTAGAGCATTAGGTGGACTTTGTGGATGGTCGATTTATTATCCTTTAGATGTAATTAAATCAGAAATTCAAATAGATGATCTCAGACCTGGACATCGAAAATATATTTCATATTTTGATTGTATCAAACAAATCTATCAACAACAAAATATCATCAAAACATTTTATCGTAGATATTTTTCAGGTATTCTCAAAGCTGTTCCAACAAATGCCGCTTGTTTTTTTGCTTATGAAGAAGTTTATCGTTTATTAGAATAAACATTTACAAGTATTAATTCTCTTATATATCATCAACTGATTTCATTATCGACGGGAAAGAGTGTTTCAAAACCCCATTGAGTTCTGTAATTTTTGGTTGTTTCACAGTTTATTGATACGTTTTCTCAAAACATCAAAACTCTGTAATATAGCAGGAAATGTTTGGATAGATGATTATTCTGTCTTTTCGAAATATACTTATCGTTGAAAATGTTGAAAATTGGAGCAAAGATAGAGTAGAATACCTATTGAAGAAATACAATCTTGAATAGTGGAAAAGTTTAACAATGGAACTTCGATAAGTTCAAATGAAAGAAAACATCATGGAACTCGTTTTTGTTCAACATCAGAACATGTGATTGATTGGATGTGATTTTGCTTGTTTGATGCTGTGGATTGGCATTTATTATTGGTGTTTTCTACAAATGTTATCGATTTGATAGAGGTGGGATGTCGTTTTAATACAAAGTATATTCACAAAAAAAATAAAGATGAAAATAATGTTGCTTGGTTTTGATATTATTAAATAAATGTAACTGATGACTTTGAAATTATTTAGATTACCAGGAGGATATTGAGTTGAAATTCAAGGCTAATCAAAATATGTCAGATGTTTTTCTTGAAAATAAATAAAACGAATTAGAAAATACGATTTTTACTGTATGTTGTCAAAGAGTTTCATAAGATATTGTATGAAGACGGTAATGTGATGTTAATATTAATCATTCATTGTATTCAAATATAAA